AGAGTGGGCAAAGGTTAGAACCTCTGTCAGTCTTCTGACTTTTTCTCCCTTGCTGGCATAAACAAAAACATTATCTAAATGTCCCTTTCACTCACCTAAATCTGTGGTCATATGATGCATCAGTCCTGAGTCTTCTCTCTTCTTCTTGTGCACAGGAGAAGGGATCCTTCTTAGGAGTCCACATCCCTGCCTGCATGACATAGACACTTCCTATTGGCTATCCAGCAGCGGGCTCCTCTCAGAATCCAGAAGATGGACTAAAGTGATGATGTCAGTGTGAGTGTGCAGGTGGGGACCGGCCAGGGAGAGCACATCTTGCAGCACTGAATTACTGGTCTCTTGCACCCAGAAATGGCGCTGGCAAGGTACATTCAAAGTAGACTTAGGCACTTAAAACAAAATGGGATGGGGTATTTGGAAGGAGTGGTGGAGGGGTTCTGTTTTGCCCTTAGACAGACATTAGTAACAAAGAAAGATAATTTGTATTACTTTATTATGTTTTAAACTACATAGTGATTTTGAAAGGGGTCTAATGGATTCCTTTACATGTTCACCATTGCAGGAAAAAGCAACTTTTATAACAACCCCCAGTGCAGGAGAGGGGAATTCATGTTTAGAAGAAGGCTGTTTTTCAAATAGGGACAGCTGTACTATTTTCTAGTCCTTCCGTCTTGAAATACTGGCAAGAAAGTAGATTGCTATTAGCATGCTGGTGACCATCTACTATTGGGAAAGTAGACTGCCATTAGCATGCTGGTGACCATCTACTATTTGGACCATCTACTATCTGCTACTAAAGCAGAGGACTGAAATGTTTAATATACACAGACATACAGACGCACACTCTTGCACACACACTTTATATATTTTTTTAAAAACAGTTAGTGGAGCAGATGTTTCAGTTGTCACTCATCTCTGCTACCACACAAAAAGTGAAAGTCAGTCAGAACGACTGACTCTTGAAGTAAAACAGTATTTAAATCAATGAAAATTCCAGAAG